AAAAGGTTAGGGGAAGATTTGAATTGATTAGCTTACAACTTTTCAAATATGAAAAAAAAAGTGGTAGGCAAAGGAGTAAAGAGGAAGCAATGTTTAAGAATGTCAAGAATGATCGGTTGAAACAATGTTTAGTTGATTCTCCCAGTAGGAAGTACTGAAAAACGAGATTAAAGAGCAAATTTTTTTGTTAAACAAATCAATCACGTTATACATTGAAACTTCAAAGGATGGATTTATTAAAGGAAATTTGACAAAATGAAGTTTGCAACGATTAATCATTAATACCCAAGAAATATCAAGTTAGGAAAATGATATCGCTCAACAATGAATAAATTGTAAATTGGCAAAATATAATATTTACAGGTTGGCGTAGTAGAAATGTCGATTTTCTAAACTATTCCAGTCAGGTCATTTTTAATTTGGTACAGCATTTCTATCTCTTAATTTTAGTAAAAGATTTTTAAGGACCTTTGCGACACTCAGATTTTCTAATCTTGTTGTTTCTGTTTCTTCGCTGAATCTTTTTCACTGTTGACTTTGTTTTAGCAGTTATAGATGATAACGATGAATCCGAAACTGTTGAAGATGCCAAAGTAGTAGTAACCGTTGTCGTCGTTGTTGTAACCATTATTAATGTAGATCCGGAAGCAGTAGGCAGTGAAGTGTGTCCGGAATCAGCGTTATCGCCTCCCTCAATGTTGTGATATTTATCAGATATCTCTAAATTCAATCTCATCTCAACACCTTCCACAATAGAAGGCAAAATACGATGCTTACTCAGAGAACTACTGTGAGCGAACGTAGACTTAAGTTTGTTTGGTTGCTGGGATGATTTTTCTGTGATGATATCCTGATTTCGGTTTGCAGATTTGCTGATCTTCGAAACATCTGAGCTTTGGGAGCGTATCCGGATATCACGAGTTTTTCGGGGTTGGGATGGAAATGGATTCATATCCTTCGTGATGATAGGTGCCAACATATTGCTCTGTAGTTGTTCTTTCCAAGCCTTATCGATCCTTCAATTTTCCCGCACTAAAAAAGGATATGCAAGATAGATGTTTTGAACAGAATGAAAATCTTCTAAGTTGATATGTTATTACGGATAACACTTAGACGACATGAACATTAGGATAACACTCATCGTCCAGCCGCTCAGCTCTGTCACCCGCCTTCCGAGGACAGTCATTTCTCTAGCTATATTGCATAACCATTTGCACTATGCGCACAAATACACTAACACTTACATACATACATCCACCAATTCAATATTTATTATTGTCGTTCGTCACCATCTCCAATTTGCAGTGTGACAAATTTTTGTCCCTTGACATAGTTTCAACAATCAATTAATCATTAAGTTGAATGGAAATAAGGATTACTGTGCAAATCAGACTTCAAAAAAGCGAAGTTCTCAAGTATTTTATATGACATTTCACACACACACAATCAATCAAAGAAACAAATTTTTAACCAGTGATTTTGAATTGAAGGAGTGAAAAATATCCAAGAATAATAATTAATAGAACAAATGATTAAAATCAATTTGAATTAACTAATATTGGATTATAAATGATATCAATGGGATTCAACTGGCCGAAAATACTGACATAATTATTAGATAATATTGATCGGTCACTAGCATTTATGTGGACTTTTATTTGCGCGGGACTTTTTTTATTCCTAATTTTTTATGTCGCGCAATGAAAAAACAAAATAGAAATTGTAATACGAATTTGCAATTGTTATGTTTGTAAGTTATGAAATTTGGTAGTTCTAAGTGTTTTTGTTTGTAGAAATTTGTCAGAATAGTTTTAAAGGTTTAATGAGAATTACAAGAAAGTGAAAAATTAAGAAAAGCTTCAATGCCAAAACACCTGAACGATTTAATTAAATATTAAGTTAAAGGGAAAAAAAATGTTCTATAAATCTTTGAATACAATATGACCCATTCAAAAAAATAATACCTCCGAAAGAAAAAAAATCTGATTCGAAAATTGGAAAGCTACAACTAACTGTTCTGAAATTTCTCCTTTTATTGGAGATAAATTAAATATAAGCAATTAATTAGGTAGAAATAAATTACTTGAATGTACGGGACAATTAGCATTTCCAACTTTTTTCTGATACATTTGAACCACATCAATTGTCCTTCAACCAACAGGATTAAAATCATGCTGACATATTATTACTTTTTATGCAAAGTTTCCAATAAAAACTACTTCCTGAACTAAAATAATTATTTTCCTTAAAGTGACTTCAGCTGACTTTTTTTTTTGCTGGAAAGTAATTAACCGGTTCATTTCTATTTCAAATGATTATACCGTTGTAATTCAGAATGGAATATATGCGAATTATCATTATCCTACAAGTATGTGCGAAGTCTTATTAGAAGCGATATAACAGCACGAACATATGATTTTTTGGTGACACATGAAAATAATGCAGTAAATTTAAGAGTTAAAGTACAAAGATATACAAAGATAAATGACCATGAACTAGTGGTCACAAGAATTCTTAGAAGTTATTAAATTTTTTTTTGCAAGCTTCACCGTAATAATATTCAAATTTTCTTTATCAAATGTTATGTGTCATCTGAACATTGCTCGAAATTACTGTTAGCCATCTGATTGTAATGTAATAGCATATGCTGCAAATGAAATGCTACGGTGCAGCGATGAAAATTAGAAACACTTGACTTTGTAGTGAAGTGCTGAAAGTGCCTCATGTTAGAGTGGAAGCTAGGAAATACAGTAACCTAAAACAATTTTTATCACATGTGAGTTTTAAAGGATGAGTGATACTGTTGATGACCATAACGGACAAGTTGTGGTATTGGATGAATGATGGCATCAAGATGAATTTCATCTTCCTCTTCATCCTTACGGATTCTACGCCATTTAGCCCGCCGATTTTGAAACCACGTCTTAACCTGAAATAATTTTAACACTTACAATTCGAAACCACTTCTAATAAGCTTTCGTATATAGAAAATAACTGAAAAATGTAGATCAAAAAGAAGAGTAAAGCCGATAATGTGGAAAGAAAGACAGATAAAATATGAATAGAAATAGGATTATTGAATTGTATTCATCGCAATATTATCTTTATGATTGCTGAAGAGAACAAAATGATTGCAAAAGCAAACGATGAAAAATGATGCAAAATTTTTGCCTAAAAAGTTATTGCAAATAAGCAAAATAATGGAGTTCATTGGCTGTGGGAATTTTAAAAGATCTTTTAAAAAAAAAGGAATCTATGATAAAAAAGAACCTGTCTTTCAGAAAGCTGCAAACTTCTTGCTAATTTCTTTCGTTCTTGTGATGACAAATACTTATAATTATCAAATTTTTGCTCAAGTGCATCTGTTTGTTCATTTGTAAATCGAATTTGACCACCTTTCCGCTTGTGTTGTGATTTTGGCATGTAAGGCTGCAACCACGGCAATCGTGGATCCCATCCTACAAATAGAAAAATTCTATGATTCAGCTGGGAAAAAAACAAATGGTATGTTAATTTTATTATCCTTCCTTTTTTACTATTCGGAATTTCATTACTCGATTCGGTTGCTCTCTTACAGTTGACGAAGTGTTCGTTGCATTACTTCACATAAATACTTGAATACGGTGTTACGAAGTGTTTGCACGAATCATATAATATCATTTATAAATACCTCTCACTAGCTAACGAACTAATTAAATTTGTTTGTCAACGAAATATCGTTGTCCTTCTTTTCATCTTCTTCGCTCCGTTTTCCTTCACTTCACATAAACTACTCGGTCTAATTGCTTAAGTGTTAAAAAAGGATAAGGATAGAATAAATGAGAACAAGGATGGAACAAAGCAGAACAATGTCGGTTCGCATCAAAAGCTTCCCACATCTATGCTAAACAAACATTGTAAAGTCATAAATAAAAATAAGGTAGCGAAGAGGAGATATAAAGGGAAGAAAGGGGAGGGAGTAGAATTTCGACGAATCATCAGTTCTACAGAATGAAAACGGTATAATGAAATAAATTAACTATCGTCCTTCCGAATGTTCTCACGAGAATTTACCACAAAAACTTAATCCGCTCAATCAAACGCCCTCATCCAATGATAACAAATCATCTTTACTTCTACATCCAAATAATGTAGTCAATTAATTACCATTTAAACAATGCTGAATTTAACTCCCAACCAATCACTGCATTTTTGGACTTTCTTTTTTTTTTGAATGAGTTTACTAAAGAAAAATACAATATATGAATTACTAACTATCTTACATTAACTTAAAATAAGTGACTGTAACTGAGAGAAACTGCTGTACTACTTATTAGATCTTGAATATGAATTCTAAGTATAAGTTTCTAAAATTGTTTTATCAAGATTTAGAGCAAGTGGATGCAAAAAATATTGAAAGTATGAAGAAATACTTAAAGTATCATGTATTTGCAAAAACTATTATATCGTAATAATAAAAAGAATTATCAGTAATAATCAAGCAGTCCTTTTTTCTACTGATAACGCTCAAAAATTCCTCGGGAAAAAGTCAGTCTAAAAATTTGTTGTTCATTTTCAAATATATCGATTAAATTTTACTATCCAAAATTTAAAATATAATCAGAATAGAAGGGAATTTTTTAGAGCATGTACCGATGATAACTGGATAGTGTCCGCTGTTCGTGCGGCTAATTTGATGTCCAATATGTTGAGTAGCCATACTGACATAGTTAACTGCTTGGTACCATTCCGGAGAACTGAAGGAGCCCACAAAATTATTTGGACATGCTGCAACGTGCACGCTTTTGCACGATACAAGTGTCTTGTCACAAAATCCTGCTTCATTCAGGGTATCTCTAGAAATAGCATTTTCTAAAAAGTATTTTTAACTTTTTAAGGCTGTTAAGCTTTTCAGGTGGTAAAGCTGGAAATGAAGAAATGCTCAAAAGGTTGTTCATTTTCAAACATTCGGAAAAATCAATTTATTAAATTGTGATGTTTTATAATCGAATCTAAATTAAATCCCAACAGTGTCAAAAGTTTTAAATTTAATTTTAAATTTAATCAGAATTAAAAAATTTTTTTCAACCATAAGCATATTAATAGAGTGGCAAAACAAAAATATGTGGTACGGATATTGTCCGATCAATGAGAAATTTCGAGAGATATATGATATTTAAAATATATCTCCTAGGTATCGATAAGATATTAAAGAAATTTTCAGTAGTTTTATGAGAAATGGAATATCTGATAAAGTATGACATCACTTTGTTCATTGATTTCCTTCTAAATACTTGCATGCCAGTATTACGAGAAAGTCGGGAAGTTATTCGATAAAAAGCAATTTCATATTTTAAATAACCAGTAGTGTTTCTCAGGGTGACTGTCTCCTATTTTACTTAATTTCTTGAAATGGTTTCTTTGGAAGTTCCTACCTTCAGTTTACCAAAAAAGAAGTTCTTTTTTTCGTCAATCTATTGATGATTTTAATGACTTGTAATTAATGAATAATCGCGCTGTAACTTTGATTACGTGAATAAATAATGCAACAAATGAAGTTCATAGCTATTAGTAAATGATTCCTAATGAATAATTGAAGTTTTTAATGGAATTTCAATGAATGATGCAAGCTTTATTGGAAAAAAGTTCAAAAAAAAAGGAAGAGAGAAAATAAAAGCAAACCTGACTGATGATGAATGCTCGGTAACTTCGGATGGTTGTAGTAAATTATGAATAAAAAATGCCATCCTGTGAGGGTATTTGTCTAGCAAGTTGAAAATTGTTAAATTTTATTTATGTATTTGAAGTAAGATTTTTTTTTTCTTTTTGCTTACAGAAATATTATTTATTGATCAGCTATTTAGTGGCAAATGATGAGTCTCAAAGATCTAAGAATTTAGCTGTTACTGATTATGACCGTTTGTTAAATCGAAAAATTATTACTATAAGGGCGGGATCAAATTAAGCTTCAAATATCAAGGCGGAGTTGATGGAAGTTTGATTGCGCTACCGATAATACCGTACACACATATACACATATACGACGTACAGAAGGAGAACAAACATTTAACAGACTGATATATATATGTATATATATA